TACATTTTTCAAGGCAAAATGTTGCTGACTCCACTGCCTCTGCTACTGTTAGGTTCCGTTCCGTGTACGGACACTTCACCTCAAGAACAGTTCCTTCATCAATGATACCATCTGGAGATGCACCAAGAATTCCAGATGAATGAAACCAGATTCCAGTTCCTTTCACTGCCAACCCTGTTTTCAGGGTGAATGCTTTGACGGCTTCCTCTTCATTATTTACTCCCCATTGCACTGCCTTTACCCTTGATAGGTCGTACTCCCCGAGAAGACGTTTAATAAGTGAAGGAGTGATCCTCTTTGCCTTTAGGACAGAGCCGAAGTTACTGGCTGTAAGGCGGCCCCTTCTCGCCAAAAACCAGGCCGGGTTGTCTCGCTGGCCAGCAGTTAATTCGCTAACCCTTAAAATGTCCGTTTCTTGTAATCTGGAAAGGCGAACCAAACAGTCCAGCTGCTGCTGACGCCCAGTGGCTTGAAGAAACTCGTCAGAGAAAATAATTTCTTCTATGGTTGGAAAAGGAAGCTGGTTAGCAATAGGTGGCTCAGGGCTGATTAGCCAGCAGAGCCCCGTAAACCGCCCATATTCCTTCAGGTCTTCGTACAACGCGCAACGGTCAGCTTGTGTAGGCTTTCTCGACAGAGCAGAATACCTTTTAGGCGGGGGGAACATTTCTGTGACCGCTTGAGTTGAAAGCGATGTATTTGACTTTCGTTTCCGCCACTGGCATTCGACGTCGGTTCGGCTCAGTTTGTGAATACCGTGAATAAAGAGGGCTGCTGCGTGACTGCATTTAAACACGCCTCTTGGACATTCACACTCGGTTGATTTTATTTCATGTTCTTCATCCAAATAAATCTGCAAGATGTCAAGATTAATGGCATTTAGTTCGGCAAATAGAAACGGTTTTTTCGGCAAGATGCTACTAGTAAAAGATCGATGATGCAAAGAATAACAACTCACCGTCACTTTATAAACCTTTTGTTTCATGCTTGCGTGTACTTCTCCTCGTAAAACACCCTGCTGGTAAGTAAATGCTTCAATGTGATCTGACTTAAAGTGGTTTTCCCCCTTTTTTATAGATTTCTTTTCTTCTGAGAAGAAAGAAAAAAGCGAAGCGATGGATAATGTCGCCATTTTGAATCGAATGGGCGCTTGTTTGGAACTGAGATTTTTAGCACCATGGAAACGTGACGTCACCGCTTAAGGACTTTATACTCGAGGCGCCTGGGAACTCCATTTGCAGGGTGTAGCTTCTCGTGCAGTGTCTTCATCATGATCGGATCACTTACTCTTCTCGGCGCTCTTGTGATTTACCTTGGTAAGTTGAAATCTTAGGATGAGTTCGTAGCGGTTATTTGTTTTGTATTACTCTGGGGAGCGAATGATTGAGCGTCAGTGATGGTTTTTGTGTGTATGAATGCCTTTCCTTGCGCGGAGCTTTGATCCGAAATACGAGAAATACCAAGATTTCCGAAAACTATCGATGACACACCTACAATTCCTAACAACAGTATTTGTCGACGTTCTGTTTTTTGAAATTCCTGTCTTCAATCCATGCTTAATTCACCAGAATCGTTTTAGAATATCTAGCTGCTACTAGATAGCTTAATTTAATGTCATTTTCCATTCCTTATCATCGATCAAAATTGGTTGTGATGTGGAATGGAAGGGCTTATCAGTCTAAACAGCTAGACGGATACAATCATCTAATTGCAGAAAACACCGTCTGGGAACATTCGTTTAAATGGTTTCTTAACGAAAGTTAGAACATTGCGCTGATATCCTTGAAATTTCGACGCTACTCTTACCTTCGTTTCAGACGAAATTTCAAGTATTTGCTGAAACAGCACCCAAGATGAATCAAATTACAACCCCTCTCGATTTCATTTGTGTGAATCAGTCTCAAAATATCGCATTCTCAGATAAAAATGGTGCCCGCTGGAAAGCTTAAAAAATATTAAGTTCTAAGAAAGGAATCAGAAAGCTCAGGAAGGAGATAACTGAGAGCTGAAGGGATCACGGAAAAAGGAATATCGAAATAATTAGAGTCCGATTTATTGAAGTGAAAGAACAATGCCCCTAGTTAATCTCAAACTTCCGCTTAATGACAGTTTCAAGTTAAACTAAAACTTGTCATCGTCTCATAGCCAAATGTCTACAGCGAAAAAACTGCTGAAAATCGGGCATTTTTCGTATTCGATTTGGGTTTATTCGTTTTCACATGTTTTGAGAGGAGGAAGGAATTGGAGGACTATGATTATGTCAATTTTTCACAAATGTCAAGAATGCTTATGTGAATAATGTATGTCACAAGACTATTCGACTAAGGCCCAGTTCAAACGTCGAATTTCACATATGCCGAACTTAACTCCTATTTAGTCGACTCTTAAAGATAGTTAAATACAGCATTTGATTCAAACGTCGAATTTAACTCTGTTCGCTGTCAATATTCCCCACTACTTATTTGCTAGATGAAGACATCTATTGAGCGTTTGCTTAATTGCTTTACTGATGCTTTTATTTTGCTGTTTGTTTTTGCTTCGTCATCTTAGCTTTTCGTCATGTTACTTTGACTTGATTCACGTTCCCAATCATTTCAGTGAAACACGACTCACAATATGCCACAGATTTTCTTACTTTCCATCCAGGAGTGTCCTCTTGGTTTTCAATAACCGAACACCTCATACAAAAGTAATTACTGCACGTCTTTGCAAAGCAAGAACTACAAATTCCTTTGTCTCCCACCATTTTTTGTGCTGTTTTGGCTTTTTCGCGCATGGCATTCACAGAATTCCTCGCGAGTTGTGGGTAATAAATAAATCATAACAATTTCCTATAATTCATGCATTAAGTTCGGCACATGTGAGATGCGACGTTTGAATCAAAAGTCGAACTTAAGTCGCATCTTCGACTGTTTCAGTCGCAGATACGGCGAAAGTCGCATTGAATTTAAAACAGTCCAATTGAATTGATTCAAACGTTGCACTTCACATGCATTTAACTCTCGCATTAAGTTCGGCATATATGAAATTCGACGTTTGAACTGGGCCTTACGAAGCCACTTCAAGTTGTTTGCGTATATGACCTCGAAGTTGGATGGGATAGTTCATGACTCGTCGAGAGTTCTGCGATTGGTTGAGAGAACTCACGCGACTCTCTCAACTAATCAGCTTTTAATCTCAAATCGATAGGAATTTGAACTTGCACTCTCCCCCGACTAATGTTTAGTCTTTTTTTTTTTTAATGTGATTTTTACTTTGGTTGTGATTAGGTCACGATTACTTTTGTTTGGCTCCACGCCAGTCAAACGAAAGGATTCTAACGACGATGTCATTTTACTAGCGCTCAAATGTTAGAAATGATAAGGGGATAACATTCTGTTAAATTCTTCAAAAGTATCGCGCATGGTTGTGAGTGAGATGTACATGCGGAAGCCCAATATATTGTAAGAGCCCAATTATTCACCTTGTTTTCCGGAGAGATAAACTCGTGATTTCTGACACGTGTCTCAGAACTAGGATAAACTCAAAGAGATGTCGACTTTCCTAAATTCATGTTATTTCATTCCCGAGTGTTTCCTCGCTCAGAGCACGATTGTAATGGCTGATTAATGATCACATGGCTTTCCATATATTCATATGTATCCCTGATCGAAGGAATTTGATTGAATGCGATCAAAGCCCCCCAAAAGGCACATGAACGAAAGGTTACCTCTAGTGGTGTCGACATAGCTAGAAACTATTTACGCTTGCCACGAACTTTGGCGGGTTCACTTGTAAAACTATACCAAAACCATAGTTCTCATGTTACTTTCTGACCTTCTCAAAACTTGAATTAGCTGATCTTATTTTGATTTTTTCTTGTTTTGCTTTGCTTATCACCAGGTCAAGGCCAAGCTTACCAAATGAGATGGTGCACAATTTCTGACAAAGAACAGGCAAAATGCGACGACTTGAAATCTGTTCTTAATCAACCAGGGAACGATTCCGATGTTACTGCAAGTTGTGTTCAGGGAGGTAGTGCGATTGATTGTATGAAAAAGATAAAAAACGGAGAGGCTGATCTGATCACGCTCGACGGAGGAGAAATATATCGTGCAGGTAATATTCCTGTAGCAAAGGAATGATAATAGGAAGGGCCATTACAATTTATCGTGCTTCTTGAGTCAGATTTAACTTGTTCTTACCTTGCCCGGTTTACTCCTTACTTAACAAGCATTGCAGATTTCTCACAGTTTTACTCGCTTTCTTCGAGCTAATTCTGCTAATTCATAAAAGTCAACTCCCTTTCTTTCCAGCTAGAAGCTGCTTAATGACGTTACTCTTCTCCCAAACGAAAGGTGATGAGAGAATGATAGGCGTTACGTACAGATCACGCGATGTTTTTTTTTGTGGAATGAGTATTAAGGAAGCTATTGCTTGATTTAATATTTCTTAGGTAAGGAATACATGATGGCTCCCGTGGTTGCTGAAACGTATACTGCTGATGCGGGGAGCCTCTCTTATTATGCTGTGGCAGTTGTAAAAAGGGATGGTACGATTACAGGCCTAGAAGACCTGAAGGGAAAAAAGTCTTGTCATACAGGAGCGGGAAAGACATCTGGCTGGGTCGTACCCGTTGGTACACTGCTGGCCGAGAAATTCATGACTCAAGACTCTAGCTGTAATCCGTACGTATCAGCTGGAAAGTATTTTAAAGAAAGCTGTGTGCCAAGTAAGTCATTTGAGTTATTAGTTTACTGAAGCATCATGGGCGACCTCGTTCAAAGGACCCACTCTCTTCCTCCCTCGAGAGACGAGGAAACAGGACCCTGGCAACGAGGTTGCATCAGTGACACTTTGGGATTCGTCAATCCTTTGCGTATCTCTGGCATCTTCTTCATTGTTCGTTTTAGTTAGCTCTCTGATTGTTTTTGAAAACTCTCACTACTTAGTCCACCAGTCAAATGCCATACGGAAAACCACCCTAGTTTTGTACTTAACGCTTTTCTGCTCTCCATTCTGATCACATATTTGCAAGAAGTGTCGGGTGTAGCCTTGTCAGTTTGACACTGACGCTGGCTAAAAGCATCTAGCTTTTCTCCAAGAACCCTGTAAGGTCTTGAGATAGACACAAGTAAGACTTAGACACAATATTAACTCTCACCTAATGTTTAGGGCGCTGGTCACCGGTTGTAGAAGTCTGGGTTTGAGTCACTGTGCTGTGTTGTTGAGAAGAACACATTACTCTCGCAGTAACTTTCTCCCCCAAGGATTATAAATGGGTACTGGTGAAGTTGCATGGAAGCCTTTTGAAATGTCAAGGGTAATGTTGAGATGGACTAACATCCTATCCAAGGGGGGGGGGGTAGTTATACTACCAGTCGCTTCATGCTTAGGAAACCGTGATAAGTTCCGGCTGAATGGGCCACTTGTCTCTTTGCCTTCACCCTGTTACCGATACAAATATAAACAAGCTGATTTCCACTGTTTTCTCTTTGACTGTTACTAAGTTATAATTCTACTTTTTAACCCTAGATGTTAAGAACCCCGATATTGATAAAAACAAAATTAATCCCGAAAACCTTTGCGCGCTCTGCAAAGATGAATGCGAGAAAAAAGGAAAATACTCTGGTTATAGTGGCGCCTTTAAATGCTTGATGGATGGTGTGGGTGAAGTGGCATTTGTAAAACATACAACCGTAACCAGCGAACCATCAGCAAATACAAGTGATTACTTATACCTGTGTTACGATGGAACTACTGGTGGTATGTATTATATTTGAATCAGAGTAGTAATTCTATATACCTTTTCTACTTCTAGAATCATCTCGAGTTCATTGCGTTTCTCAAAATTTACAATCGTTGAAACTTAATTTGGCTGCTCTTCCTCAGTTATACACTGTAATATCGTTCCAGTCCTCAGACATTCCGCCTTAAAACATTTATTTTTAATTTTTTTTTTTTGGTTATTTTTGATTTTAGCCCTATGAGGGTAGAACTAAGCTTTCTCCTTCCCAAGGGCTTCGTTTGTCTTAACACTACTTCATACTTGATTGATTTTAGTACACTCGACACAGCCACTCAACGTATATAGGTGTGCACGATAATTGTCCCTGTCTGGCAGGTCATTATATAACCCGCTGACAGACCTGGAAACTCTTGGTACATGGAGGAACTGTTAAAATATTTTTTCCTTTCCTTGAATTTTTTTTCAGCCATTGGAGATCATACCACATGCAACCTAGCTAAAGTTCCCTCTCACGCTGTAATGACGAGCAACGGAAGCAGTAATAAAGCAAACTACGCTAAGATCTTGATCAAAGCGTCAAGTGATTATGGGATCCTAATGTTTGACTCAGCCAAGTGGAACGGAACAGATCTTCTCTTCAAAGATTCCACTGTCAAGCTTTTAGACGTCAGTTCTAAGACCTACGAGGAGTTTCTTGGAGACGGTTATTTAAAAGATCTCGAGTCGTTAAATGCATGTCCCCCAACAACATACCCCCCAATCTCAGGAACCAAGCAGAATACGCCTCACCTGATTGGTTCTGTCGTTTTCTTGTTGACGGCTCTGTTCCTGTGTGGAGCTGTACCTTACTGAAAACCTCATGCAAGAGCTGCACATTGTAGAAGTGTAACCACTAACTAGCCTATATGATTTTTTGTTCCTCTTATTGGGTAACTAGAGTTTTTGTTGCTGATTTTGCTTCGCTATAGGGATATACTGAGTTGCCTACTTGCAGACTTTTCATGCTTGTCACGCAACGCTATTCGTCAATGTGCGACCGCGCGCTGCGTATCAAATCTTAAAACAACTGGTGACTAGGCTAGTTTCGGCGTTGTTCTAGTCAGTGTATCGTTTCGTAATTCGAGTGTAACTGGGCTTGAATGTAGTTCATCGTTTTAAACCTAAAAAGATTGAAAGTCAAAGGCACGTGGGTTTTGAAAGTGAAACGGAAAATGAGGTATAACATTTAGAGAAGGAGTAGCTGTGTTGTTTTTGTTCGGTAAACATAACTTTTTTATGTTACTAGAGATAGTGTCAACTAGTGGGGTCGGAACAGTAGTTGTAATCTGGAAGAAAACATTGTTTCTTTGTTTCGTTCGAAAGACTGAACTAAAGAAGCTTGCTGCGAGTTATATAGGAAGTAAAATGGTGAAGCTTTTAGAAACGACCAAGACAGGGTTAATAGCACGAGGAAAGAAAAGATCGGTTTGTAATTTCGTCATGCTGTGTGAACAGGGAACTTAATCGAGTGCGCACGACCAGTTTTCTTGAATAACAAAGCAAGGGAGTTAATAAGTGCTCATTAAAGTTGTTGTTTCTTTGTTTCACCATGATTAGAATAAACAAAGCTGGTCTTGTATTGTCCAACTTTTTTCTCTTTTTTTTTTTTTTTTTTCACTCTTTAATAACTTTCCTGCACAGATAGTGTAAGGGAAGTACATGTTCTCTAACCCTGTGCGATGTTCTCGGTCAGTGAAAATAGGCGAAAAAAGGGGACGGCGAAAAACACAAGAAGTCGTTCTGCAACCGTTGTTCTGCCAACCGCCGTGAGAGTTCTTTTCTCGCTTGCCTGCTCTTTCGCTCGTTTTCTCCATCGGACAGTCCGGAACAAGCCAAGTAACTCCACTTAACTGCATCCACTTACCCACCCAAGCCTACGCACATCACCACTCGCGTCTAGCTCAAATTATTTCCCGGTCGCTTCTCATAATATACATGTACATTTTTTTAATTATAAAAACACTGTGACATATTACAATGAACCGTCTAGCCTGAGCTAATCAGAGCGAGACGCGTCCTGATAAGGTAAACAGAAAATAAGAGGCTAAATTTAGAGTAAACTAGTTACGCCAAGAAGTACCCAATCAAAGGGGGTCATGTCCTTTAATCCTCGCCATGAAATTATTTCTCATCAACATATTATACCGTCTTGTACTTAATTCTTTACTTAATTCAACTGCAATGCTCAAATTCGATATCTGAAGATGGTAAGAATTACTTAGGTATTATTTTGTTTCGTCGTCTCAGTACATAACACAAACATTGATGATAATTTTCTAAAGTCAATTACCAAGAAACTTTTAATACACAATCGGACATCAAGGCGTTAAGGGTGGTACTGGCGTAATAAATTAACCCCGGACACCTTTCTTCTGGTTTAACGTTAGCAGAATCCTCTAATGAATTTATTTAGCTTTAAAGATACTCTAGGACCTGAGAAAGCGGGCTGTCACGATGCGAAAAGGTTTCCGTCTAATATTGTAATATTGTCTAATTAGAATCAATAGAACAATCCCACATGCTTCCAAATGGTAGGGAAGCAGCCCGTGAGAAGGACTAACCTTCCCCTCCCTCATTGAAAAGTCCGGCACTCCCCTTGATATAAGTCTTAATTCGAAAAAAGCAACGCTCTCATTGAAATTGTAATGTCATGTTCCTGAACATAGCAAAAGAGTTGTTCGAATTATCCCGTTTGCAGCATCGTCGAGCTGACCAACAGGACAGAGGTAGTGGGCGCTTGTTGGCCATCCTCCTCACATCGGCACCTGAACACATCCACGCAAGCCTTGCGAAACTTGTCACTGAAGAAGCTGTAGATGAAAGGGTTACATGCCATGGAACACAGAGCAAGTACCGAGGAGAAGTTCACGAAAACGCTGAAGCCGACCGTCTCATAGGGAAGCTGTATGAACGCTCTGAGCAGCACAACCACTTGAAAAGGCAACATGCACGTCATAAACGTGACGATCACTGTTAGAAGCATGTAGGTCGTCTTGCGCTTCTTTTTCATTCTGTTAATTGCGTAGGCACGGTTCGCACTGTACGATGGTTGGCTATTCGTTGGAGAGAAACCACGACCGCTGCGTGCGCGTGCGTCGTCGCTTAGGGACGGCTCCGGTTGCCATAAGGTTCGTATGATCATGATGTAACTTATGCCAATCACCAAAATAGGGAGGACAAATAAAAGAATGAACGCCAACACTGTGTAAATTTGGTTTCCAAATATCCCGCCTTTACCCGTCCAGTCTTCGACGCACCGTTTGTATTTTGTCGTGACCACAAAGGCCTGGGGAGCAGCAATGGCACAAGACACCAGCCAAGTAAGACCCATTAAAATCACAGTTCGTCTGATTTTTTTTCGTGAGGCACGAACCGTGAAGGGATTCACGATGGCTTGATATCTACGGAGAAACATTAAGGGAAAAATCATTAGGGTGGACTTTCTTCATGAAGTTATATTTCGAGGAGCCCATGTGCTTTGCATAAACTCTTCGGCTCCTGTGGCTGTAACCCAACCTCGTTTCCAGGGGCCTTTTCCCTTACTTGGGGGTGGGCGGCTAGCTGTAACTTTCTCTCAATCGATTTTTCTCGTTTCATTGAATTTGGTCTTTTGCGAAAATTGATCAAGAAAAATTCGCAATTAAAATAAGTTGTCAAAAATTAATGTAGATAAGGTGGGCAATTTCAAATTTAACGCCCTTCTTTTCGTTTTATTTACCTTTCTACTGCCAACACCACCATCGTATAAACGGACACCGACACAGATATTGAAGAAATCACTCTGACTGCTCGGCACATGAAACCTCCGAGAGGCCATTCGCTAGGCGAGATCTGGTCAGACATCAGCGATGGAATGGCGAACAGAGCTGACAGCAAGTCTGAGATGGCCATATTGAGGAGGAACAGATTGGTCAAAGTGCGCATGTCTTTTCTTCTGGTGATTACGATGCAAACAAACCCATTACCTAAGGATGACAAGATAATCAAGCTTAGTCAAACAAGAAGGAATTAGTTTGAATATATCAACAAAGTTAAAATGGTAAATTGGCCACCGTTACGATTATAAAAGCTGACGTTTCGAGCGTTAGCCCTTCGTCGGAGCGAATAGGAGAATTGTGGGTTGCGTGTGCTTTTAAAGGCAGAAAAAGGAGCTACGTGATTGGTGGGAACATGGCAACGAGAAAAACTCGAATAAAAAGGAATTAGGTTAGATTAGTATATCAGAGGGTCTGATGCATTCCTATTAAGTAACGCAGATTAAGGGAAAATGTTGTTGTTAAAAATAATATATTTACATAAACTATAAATTAATTCAAATACTGTGTTGATCAGAACAGCATTAATTTTTTAGGTACTTTTAAGAGGGTTCATCTCTTTAGTCTGGGGAAAGATGTTTCTCGTTTTGTTACCAGTGAGCGTGGGATAAAAGGAAAATAACGAGGAATCGAACTTCAGACCTTCGGATTCCGCGCTCTGATACTCTGATGGTCTGAGGTTTGATCCCTCCTGAGAACTCTGATTTGATTCTTTATCCCATGCTCGTGACAGAAGGTATAACCATCTTTTCTCTATTTCTTTACCGAGCTCAAAATTTACAACCTTTCTTTTTCTGTTCCCATGATCGTTTTTGTAATTCTCTCTTCTGATTGTTACACGTCTCTTTGGAATCAGTTAGGATAATTCTGTTTCATGACTTCTTATATCAATATGAAATCATCTGTTTGACAAGTTTTCCAATCTCAACACCTGTTTGCTAAACAATGTACCGAAGTTTTACAGGCTGATTTTGGGAGAAGTTGCAAGTTTATAATTTTTGGGAGCAAAGGGTTAAACATCTCAAAAATTTAATATCAAACGTGAGCGATTACGCTGATAGGTTGGCGAGGCGAGGAAAGTAAGTTGCCATGGAGTAGGTTTATTGAAATTATCTTGGCATAAGCTAACCTATACACGTACTTTCAGTTTTCGAGATATCTTTGAGGCTGAGTGAGAGGAGATAATTAAAATCTCAACCGTCCTTGTGAACGACTACCTTAGTTTAAAGTAAATAGCGTCCTCCAACTCAATTGTCTTCCCATTTTCGTAATTCACAACGACTAATTTATCACGAAATTCAAAGCCCTTCTTTCCATTTATGCCTGATATGAAAGCAGTCACATTTAGAAGTTCTATTGACCAAAAAATAATTTCTAAGGGCATTCAGAAACCTCGCTGTAAGGGAAGCAATGAAATGTAACAAATCAAAGAACTTTAAATAATAACTAACGATTCGCGTTATTTCTTGTGACTGATTTTGCTATCGTGCTTTTCTGTCTATCTTACACTAAGCTAAACAGGTTAGCACTTCATGTTTTAAATCTTTTTGTAGCTTCAGTCTCGTAATCGATGCGTTCGTGCAGAGTCTGGTCTTGCGCAATCAATAAGTACATTCTTGTAAAGGCATCTGCTCTCTTACCTACAATGGTTACTAGAAATATGATTCCATATATTACGGAGAAGACTGCCACTTTTTCCACTGGAGAAACAGGAACTTTGTCCTGACTGTTGTCCGCGCAACGGGGATCTTGGTTCAAGGAATTGTTGATTTGTGTGGCGCAATCTTCACTGGACATTTTTGACTTTAGAGTGTTCACTGTCGTTTTAGCTTGAAGAATGTGTGCCCCTCAGCTAGTGTCAACTTACACGTAGAGACAAAGCTATTTGAAAGCAATTCCCAGGTAAATATTTTCACAACCTTATGGACGCTTTTTCCTTTAGCAATATTGAAACCTCATAAACAGTCCAACCTCTTTGGTCGTTCTTGGAAGGCACCTACCGAGAAAAAGAATGGCACGTCCTGTCGAACTGTGCAAACGAGAAGAGCCCAGCTTTTGTGCCTAATCGCCAAACTTTTCTAATTAAATGTTTAGTGGCCAAATAAATTCATTGTACTTATTTCCCCCTTTTTACCGTGATTCTTTTGTTCTTGGGTGTCAAATACTGTCAGAACAGATTGAATGCTTCAATTTGTTTGAAGAGAATGGTCTCGGCAATGACGTGATAAAAACCAAAATTAAACAACTTGGTCAGCGCAAACTATGTTCTTAATTCTAGAACAATAGGAAAGACAAGCAAAAAAGCCCACAGAATTGTTGTGAAAAAACATGAACATTTTGTACTTCTTCTGAACAAAGGCAAAGATGATGGGCAAAGACTTCATCATGAAAGAAACCATTCCTTTTTCAGTATCTTTGTGTTTGTCAATCTAGAGCTTCGCTTTCCCCGAGTAGGGGAGGGGAGCGTCGTAGCATCGCTAGAGATTAGCAAGAGGCGACTGCAGACAAGATACGAAAACTTTCTAATTATAACTTTTGGTGTTATGAAAAAAAAAATTAAGAGGGACAAAACAGATCATAATAAATGATAAAATAAAACGACAATGAAAACATGCAGGGAGTAAGCATGTTAAAGCCTATTTGTGAACCATAGTCAAATAGAGAATTGCGATGGAAAAGTTTAATCAAATTATAACGATTAGCTTAAAGTTCTTATTCTGCAAAACGAACAGCAGGTTTATTATTTAATTTGCCTGAATTAAAACTTGATATTATGTGAAGTTTGTTTCAAGTCAGAATACCGTGTGAATACTGAAATTATCCTCTGCGTTATCCTAGGGTTGCTATCGGGAAATTTTGAGATCATTTACCCCAATTAATTAAGCCCTGAACATTAAATGGCGTATAACTTTTTGTCGTGACAAACCTCAGAAGTTATGTACCTGAAGATTTCATTGCATGTTACTGATCTTTGAAAATTCACTAGCAAAAAATTTTAGAAACATAGGAAAGGAATTAAAATTTCATATTTACTACAAAGTAATCTGTACCCAGCGAGCATAGCCTTTTCTTCTTTTCTTCCTCTTGTCTTCTTTTCGATTCGAAGACGGGTTAAAAAGGCTCTGCTCGCAGGGTAAGTAATCTGCCTAAAATCCTTTTGCTCATGCGAATCTTGATCATTGACCTCGTGACCCAAGACACAACACTGGAAACCAAGAATGAAATCTAAACCAATCAAAATGAAGAATGATCGACAATTTTAACCAATCAAAGCATGCACATATAATGCATTGTTTGATGAATGATCACTGACGCATGAAGGAGAACTTTGCTGGCGCCATTTTGTGTATGTTGTAGCTGATGTAGTTCATTGATTTCAGCTGGAATTTTATCACATTTCTCAGTCATGGCCGTGGAAGGTGGCTACCTAACCGAACTTCTAACCGAAAAGGACAACTTAGATCCTTCTTTCGTACATTCAATGCGCTTGTTAACCGAAGGTAGGCCGTGTATTTTTTATAAAATCACTCCTGCAACGTCACGTAAAGCCGAAGTGCAAAGATCGAGTGTAATATTTTGCATTCCTTCGCGGTCAACAACCACCAGTTGCTTATAAAGTATAACATCTTCGTATTTACGGCAGATGGATCCTTTCGGATTGATGATTTGTGGATAAAGTATCATCTTTGTGGTTGTTTCTCATTCCGTGAAAATTCTTCGTTTCGAATCGTTGTTGTCGGGAGGCGACCAGTGGAACGAAGAATTTGCACTCCTCCGAAAATTGTACTATTGCTTTTACAAGATCTCCTTCCTCCCTCGCTTTATCCTGATTATCAAAATGTTTCGTAATGCTTTTTACCGGTGATTATGGCTATATGTAGCTATAGTTTGGAACAGACCTCCAGTGTGGAATTTCCCAATATTTGATGACTTTGCATTGGAGCGATTACGCACTTCACCTATAATCTTTTGGATCTGTTTAATGTGGTTGCCCTCATGCAGAGCTGTCGAGGAATTAGTTTTTTTTAATTGCAGTTGCTGTAATTAGTCCCTAAAATGGATACGTTTCGCTCCCTCTGGGTATAATAGGTGATATTATTGTGTTTCAAGGCTCGGGTTGTGTAAGTGGAACTGATTGTCGGTATCATGATCAATCACTGCTCATTTGCACTTTGGTTCGTGTCTTTCATCCCATGAATATATTTTCGAAACCCCGTTCTAAACTTGCCAATAGAAGCACCCTTGATGGCCTAGCTTTACAGTAGTTCTCCGTCCAGTATCCTCTTTGTGACTGTTGAGTTTACAGCAAAGTGATATTCTTTTAATACGATGTAAAACCTCTGAAACTTTTAACTGCCCTATACCCTGTGTGAGTACAAGAACAGTTGCTTACCAATGGAGCTTCGATATCTCAGATACAGACAATAAGAGTGCAATACAAGACCACTTGACACTAACAATTCAACATCAAACTCTGGGCTCCAAATATTTTAAGCAAAATTTTAACTTTCTAAGTACCTTTTTATTTTCTTTGCAAGGAAGATATTTTTAAGGCATTAGAAAGAACTTACACCTCTACATACCTAATCTAAGTTAATCAAGCAAGCAGCTTAGTTATTTTTGTTATGCAGTAAATGGTTTGAACCCAGGGGTAACATGTGAAGGTGTAGTCTGATCGTCCGGGTGAGTGTAGTCCTGAGAAGGACTGTTGTCGGTGGTAGTGACTGACGTTTCGACAACCTGTGCGGAAGTCATCATCAGAGTCAAGTGAATGATTGTTGTCAGTAGAATGTTCTTATTCCAGTTCGTGTGAAATGATCGGTTGGTTTTGCCGTGATGTTATTGGCTGTAAGACTCAAGTGACGTAAGTCGGTCGTGATTGGTCTGTTTCGATCTGTCGGTAAAGTTAGGTCGTTCTTTTTCGGTCGTTTGTGATGTTTATGTCGTGAATGAGTCGTTTGTATGGAGCGGGTAGTTGTTGACATCTGTTTAGGGGAGTCTGTTCTAAGTTAGTAAACCAGCTTTCCAGAGTCAGTCGTTGAAAATAGTCAGTGCTGTAGGTTAGGCATTGCGCAGAGTCCCAGTCAATGTTGTGGTTGGTAAGTCGATGGTGTTCAGCAATGTGATTGCTGACATCACCTTTCCTCGTCGCCCGTCTGTGTTCAGTCAGTCTTGTTGTGAGGTTTCTGCCAGTCTCACCGATGTAGGAGGCTTGGCAGTCGGAACAATTGATCTTATAAATCGTTCCCTGTCTGTTCCTCGGTTCGTCTTTGTCTTTAACGTTGGTTAGTAACTGACGTAGTGTGGTGATGGGTTTGTGGGCGACGCGGATATTGAAGGGTAGTAAGATGCGCGAGATGTTTTCAGACATGCCTTTTATGTACGGTATGGTTGCTGTAGTCGTAGGGGTTGCGGTGTCGTTTGTTTCGGTAGTGGTAGTGGGTCGGTGAGTGTTTCGTCGGATGAAGTCGTTGTTGTAGTTGTTCTTCGTAAAAACACGGTGAAGGTATTTGTTCTCGTCGGATAAGCTGTCTGTC